TACAGCAAGATTCTCCATGAGACAGAGACTCAGTTACATTTAAAGAGTAAGTTTATTAGGAAAAGGCACTTGCATAGGCACAAGTGGGCAGGAAGAGCTGCCCGGAAAGGAACAGGTTTACAGAGAGAGAGAGAGGGCATAGTTGCAGGCAGGAGGCCTTAAGAGAGAGGCTTCTGCTGGGGGAGGTCAATGCAGAGAAGTCCCAGCATAGTACAGATAATGGACAGGCAGGTGGCTACTACCTACCCTGCAGAGGGAGAGAGTGGGTGGAAAACAGCACCTGTATAATCATAGGTGGGCAGAGGAGAGGTTGCCCTGTTCTGATAGAGAGACTGCCCTGATAGAGACAGCCTCTTCCTGGGAGGGGCTCACTCCCTGTGAGCCTAGGTTTGTGGACTTTGAAAATAATCTGAAAGAGATTCCTGATGCACTTCATCTCCTAGTACTTATTTTTCACCTCTTGGGTCTGAGCTTCAGGCACTGCCCCCAACAATCTTATCTCCTGGGACCACCCTGCAGATATTCGGGCATCCCTGGGTACCCCGGACACTGGGTTTTGACCTTGATTTTATGGCTGTGCCAGTTGCTGCACTAGCTCTTTCTACCCATCCCCTTTGTGTGACTCAGTGTTGTGATGCCTCCCCTGCATTCCTTCCTCCATCATTTGGAGTTAAAGAGACTTTGGTATAAAGGAAACCCTGTGCATTGACTAGTGAAGAGACTGTTTATTTAAAATTGTGTACAGTTTGTTTTTCCTTGTAATGTGAGATGCATGAAAGCATTACAGGGTTACGTAAAACCAGTCTTAACAACTTTTTTTGTAACAGGGTGATCCTCAGTAAAGGGGGAAGTTCCAGGTTCCCTGCCCCACCCAAAAGGAGGGTGGAGCTGAGCAGAGAAGAGGAGTTTGAAGAAGAAGGAAGCAGGGTGGAGAGCCAGAAGGAGAGCTGAAGAAGCCACATGGATCAGAGAGCATGTGATGAGGAAACCATGCTTGTTTCTTGGCACTGGACTGGTTGGAGTGGATGTGGGTGAGACCCATGGGGAGGTTCACTATGGAGGTTTCCTCTCAGACTTGTCTGGCCATTTCTGACCCTTTTCTAAATGGGTCCCTAAAGCCAGAAAATGCTTTAGGTTGTGGCAGGCGTTTAGGCCTTGCTTTGGGCAAGTCCCTTTTGGGTTGATGTTTGCCTATGAAGGGATGGGTAATTTCCGGTGTTTGATTTAGAAATTATATTCTTTGTCTTCTGTGTTGTATACTAACTGTATTAAAGTTCCTTTTCATTAAAGTCTTATGGTTTGTCT